CCTGTCCCCTATGGATTCCCAGAGGCGACTTCCACTTTCTAGTTTGGAAAACAGAAGGACCGTCTCATACCCCGGAAACTTTTAGGTGATTGTTGTTTAGACAAATACTCTTTTATTTGTTTTGTCTTTTTTTATTTTTCTTTTTTCTTTTTTTTCTATTAATTTTATTTTATTTGCATTGGTATGGAGGGTGTCAGATCCCCTGAAATCAGGGTTACAGACAGTTGTGAGTTGCCATATGGGTGCTGGGAATTGAACCTGGGTCCTCTGGAAGAGCAGATCAGTGCTCTTAACCTCTGAGCCATCTCTCCAGTCCCTGTTTTGTCTTTTTTTAAGACAGTGTTTTTCTGTGTAAGGCCCCTGGCTGTCTTGGACCTCACTTTGTAGACCAGGCTGGCTTTAAACTCAGAAATTCACCTGCTTCTGCCTGCTGAATGCTAGAATTAAAACTGTGTGTCTGGCATTGAGCAAATACTTTTAGGCCACAAATACCCCCCAGAACAAACAGCCTTGTTTCCCCAAATCAGAAAGCTTCCCATCAGTAGGGGAGGCACGGGGGGGGGAGGGAGGGAAGGAAGGAAGGAGGGAGGGAGGGAAGGAAGGAGGGAGGGAGGGAAGGAAGGAGGGAGGGAAGGAGGGAGGGAAGGAGGGAGGGAAGGAGGGAGGGAGGGAAGAAGGGAGGGAGGGAGACTCCTCCGTCCGCTCCCCTTCCTGTCCATCTGAACCAAGTGTTTAGACTGAGGAATCTGGCCACTGGCAAAGAGGGCACTAAGACTCGAAAGGTCCTTTGGACTAAGAATACAGACCAGAGGGGGCTGGAGAACAACAGAGGGCAAGGTTGCACGTTACACCCGGGAACATGGACTGGACGGTAGGACTGGTGGCCAGGCTGGCTGAGAACAGAGGTTCGGTTCTCTGTAGAAAAACTTACTGAAGTGTCTTTGGGTAGTTTGTTATTATTATTATTAATTATTAAAATTTGATTTAATAGTATTATGTCTATAAGTGCCAAGAGCCCAAAGGACAACTTTTTGTTTTGTTTTTAGACAGGGCCTCTTTATATAGCCCTGGCTGTCCTAGAACTTACTATGTGGAGCAGGCTGGCTTTGAACCCACCTGTTTCTACCACTATTCTCAGCTTCAAGGAAAATTTTGTCAAGCTGGTTCTCTTCTTCTACTTATATGTGGCTTCCCAGTATTAAACTCAGGCGGCCAGGTTCCCACCAGCTTGGGTGGCAAGCACATTACATCTTGACAGATTTGGTGGTTTTTATTATGACCATGCTAAGAAACACAATTTTTCACCACGACCCCAAACAAACACCTGAATGTACACACAGTAAAACTGAAATTAAAAGTCACAAAGTAGCAACTTACCGTGCTTCATGTACCCTGATATTTTCTACTCTATTAAAAAAAATTGCTGGTCTCAACCCACTAATTTACCATTATAGCTCCCCAGTGGATCACAGCCTGCAACTGAAATAATCAACTTGACTTGGTCTGGGGACTTTAGAGGGACTTTGAGGCTTCCCAATCCCTACTGTGCTGTAGTTGTGCTTTCTAACCAGCGAGTGGCAGATGTTACGTGCAGTCTCCACGGGGTAGCAGGGCACGCGGCTACACCAGAGGGAGAGCACAGAGAAGCTGGGTCCTAGACCAGGGATTGTCTGCAGCCACATGCCTCACAGCCGTGCCAGCTGAGGACATTCAGCTGCTGGAAAACACCAAGGATAGGTGGCACCCCACGCTGGGCCTCAGGAAGCAAATGGAAGTGCCCCCATCCCTCCCAACTGGCATCCCTGCAGAGGGTCCAGGACATCTTTCCTCCATGAAATGGACCCCCACACCCTCTTCCTCTCACCCCAGAACAGCCCCAGATGTGGAGCAGAGGTAGATGGCAGCACTAGCCGGAAGAATGGGGTGCGTGTGTTGACCATGGAAGCTACAAGTGTCAGTCTCCCAGGGCCCAGACAGGAGGCCTGGTGAGGGGAAGTCCTTCAGGGGTGGGGATATCCCTCCAAAAACTTACAGCCAGTTCAGAGCTCGCTCCGTTTGCTGAGTGAAAGCGTAACAGTAACTCAGCCATCTCACAGCTCTTTCTGGGGTGGACAAGGGGGTGAAAGCGCTGTGTTTGCCACCAAACCTAACAACCCAAGTTTGATCTCCAGGACCCACAGGGTCGAAGAAAGAATCAACTTTCTTTTCTGAGACAGGCCCGCTCTCTCTTTCTATACTGTCCTGTGTTAAACCAGGCTGGTCTCGAACTCAAGAGATCTGCCTGCCTCTGCCTCCCAAGCGCTAGGATTAAAGATGTGCACCACCATGGCAGGCATGAGAGACCAACTTTCGCAAGCTGTTCCCTGACCTCTTCATATGCACTGGGGCTCATGCCCCAGCCCCCACAAAAGAAATAAGTAAATAAATGTAATAGAAATTCAACGGCAAAAGGGCTTGTTTTTTTTTTTTTTTAAGGCATTTCTCGTAAGAACTTGGCTTTATTTTTTCCAGCACCATTTTAAGGTTCTAAGGGAAAATAAGTCACTTTGAAGACGTCCGAGCTCTAACTACCATTACGGTCCTGTGGGAGACGAGGAGCTGGCAAGCAGCACAAAGCTCTTTCCCACTGAAGGACGCGTGGGCCTTGTGTTCACTGGCGACAGCCCCCCTCCTGCCCTGGGGCTTGTCTCACTCCAGAAGGGCTAGAAAGGATGTAGTCCGGCCTTCCCACTGATTTGAAAGTGGAACAGCCACTGGGTAACCAGAATGGACCGGGGAGAGGTAGAATTGGAGCAACTCAGCAGGGTATGATGGCTGCCTCAGTCCGATCCCTCTCTCTAGATGAGAACAATCAACTCTCCTGCAGTCCCATAGTGACCTGAGGTTAGCAGGGCACCTCCAGACCAGCTGCCGTTTGGGGACAACCAGGAGTCTTTTCTGGACAGAGACGGTTCCCTCTCCACGCTGGCATCTCTGTATCACACACCCACCTCCAACCATCATCACCCCCCCCTCCACAGCCTAGGCACTGAGGTCCCTTTTACCTGGACAAGTGTGCAATAGGAACTTGGCTACAAAGGCTAGGAGGACCTCCTAGAGTCTCAGTTTCTCCGTGTGTCAAGTGACTTGCTAAGCTGTCAGCACATGTGACAAGTTATTACTGTCACTCCATAGAAAGGCAGAGATGTGTGTATGTCACAGGGAGCCAAAGTAGCCTGTCCTTGCTGTGTCACTGCTCTGCTGAGGGACATTGTCAACACTGAGGGAGAGGAAAAATGGAAGTGTATGGATCCCCATCTTGCCTGACTTGGTAACAGTCACATTATGGATGGGCTGCAGCCAGCACAGATGTTTAGTCTGTTCCCAAGCTTGGAAGAAAGACCCTTTTTTCTCATCTCTGAGCACCCTCTGGGGTGGCCAGAGATCCAGGTGGCCACTGAGCATATATCACTTTCATCCAGAGAGCTGCCCGAACTTTGTCCTGGCCCACATGCTCACTCTGGACTTGGCGCTGACCACGGGAGCCCTTGCCCAATGGCTAGCTGACTTGGATCTGCTGCATGAAGAAGCAGAGGCAGAGGAAGCGAAAAAACAGTGAAAGGCAGCGGAGAAGACGGAGCTGGGAACGTGACACGGAGCTCAGCACAGCTAGGGTGATGGGGACGGCAGAGAAGGGAGACCTCACAGTGAGAGGGCACTCTGGGGGTGCTCTTTCTGCTTAGGGGAGGTACAGTAGTGAGCCACAGGCCAGACTGTTCAGGGACCCCAGACTTTAGGAGTGCCCACGGCCAAAGGCTTCTCTGAGACCAGCGGGGGAGACACAGTTCATAATCGTGTGTTTCCCTTGTGCATTCTCTCCATGCAATCTAATGTGCTCTTGTAATGCTTAGGAGCTCTTTTTCCTCATTAGTCCAAGCCAGTGAGATGGCTCAGCCGGTGAAGGCACGTGCTGCCAAGCCTGAGGACCTGAGTTCAATCCCCAGTATGTGCACGGTAGGAGGAGAGAACTAGAGAGCTAATTCCTGCAAGTTGTCCTCTGACCCCAATATTGTACTCTGTAGCCAGCATGTGCACACCCAAACACACACACATGTGAACACATACATACACAAGTAAATGCAATTTAAAATGAAAAGGCAACAATAACAAAATGGACCTAGAACTGAAAAGGTCATCTGGCCTCACCTCCTCCCAACCTGGCCAGGTCAGAAGTCTTGCCCACAGCATCCTGGATATTCAGGCACTCACTACCACACAAGGCAAGGACTGGACACAAGGCATTCCCCTGCTGCAGCCCAAACAACTCCAAAGGCCATTGCCTTTAATCAAGTGGCATAAAGGACCATAAAAACACATAGGAAAAACCAGAGCAGAATTGAAGGGGACTGGGGGTAATGTGGCAGACATTAGAACAGCCGTAATGATAAAGGCACAGGGAGAGGGTGAGGCGGGGCCAATGGAGCTAAGAGCCAAGAAGATGAGGACACAAAGAGACCAGTGAGCATCTGCTCTCTCCGGGGACATCAGGCTCCTAGCTGGAGAGGACACTCAGTTCTGTGAGGTCCCGGTGTGACAGGGAGGAGCTGCACTGAAAGGAGGGAGGGGGCACTCTAACCCTGAGCAGAACCCAGCCCCGGGGGGCTGCAGCTGCCTCATGGCGGGGGCCCTGAGCTACTGTTCTGAGCATGACAGTGTGTGGTCCCTGCCACTTACTGTGAAGACAGAAGACTCAAGTAGAGCTCAGTGTAAAGGGGTTCACGGCTGGAGGGGACCGGAGACAGCCGAGGGTAGCAAATGAAGATCTAGAGACGGGGCTGAGAAGTTCAGGACTGTGTCATGGGGAAAGCCCAGGCCGCTGATGGAAGTGGCTATCTGGGCTAGCACGGGGCAGGTGGCGGGGCTGTGCAGTGGTTATCTTCCCAGGCTCCCTCCCGTCAAGCCTCCCTTGTGCCTAGTGTTCTAAGCTCTGCAGAATCCCAGACAGCAGTAGCCACACTCACCCACTATCTCATTCTCCTCCAGGTTGAGAGTCTCCAGTTCAGGCAAGGTGGTCAGCTGCTCTGGGAAGTCTCGAAACTGGTTCCGGGACAGGTCGATGGCCCTGAGGTGCTGCAGGCCGCTGACCTCGTTGGGGAGGCGGTAGAGGCAGTTGCCTTCCAGGTGGAGCTCTGCCACAGGAGGGAAGGAGGACAAGTTGTGAGGGAAGGGGGCCTGCCCAGAGGCCGCCGGGATTGCTGATGGTGCTCAGCCAGGACGGTGAGAATGCCCCCACCACTGCCCAGGGCCTTCCACCATTATTCCAGCAGAGGTTCCCTGCTTTGGCTCTGTAGGAGGCTCTCCTAACAGAAGCAAGGGCCCAAAGATCCGGGTGTGCTAGCTCCCTCAGACAGGCCTTGTGGGATGTGTCAGGATATGCACCAAAAGGGTCACGACCTCTCCTCAAGTCCCTCTTTGCTCCAGGACTGCTGGGGTAGCCCAGTTCTGTCATGTGTCCTTGGTTCCTCACCCAGCCACTACCAACCACACATGGGTAGGTGATGGGGAAGTCCTGTGTATATGTAAATAAAGCACTGTTGGCCAATAGGGAAGCAAGACAGGTGGGAGGTGGGACTAGGAGTCTAGGAGGATTCTGGGAAATGTAGAGAAGGGAGTCGTCGCCACGTGATTCCCAGGCAGAGGGGATGCAAGTCTGCGTTCTCAGAAAGATAAGTCCTTATAAAAATATATGTTAGAAATTATGGGTCAATAATTAAGTCAGAGCTAGCCAATGAGAAACAATAGCAAATGGCCAACAGCTTCATAATTAATATAGTGTCTTGTGTGTTATTTGGGGGCTGAAAGAAGCAACAGGAACCAGGCGGCGGCAGGAAAACTAAATGTTACAGGTAGGTTCCTCCCCGGGAGTGGTCACTGTGAAGCTGACCACTGGCCTGTGGAAAGGACTCTCATGAGGAGGCCCAGACAACACCGAGAGATGGACCAGGGCAGAAGCTGAAGCTGAAAAACTTCAAGAAAAAGGCTCCTGGGCCAGACGTGGTGGTGCACGCTTCTAATCCCAACACTTGAGAGGTAGAGGCAAGTGGATCTCTGTGAGTTCAAGGTCAGCCTGGTCTACATAGTGAGTTCAAGGGCAGCCAGGACTACACAGAGAGATCCTGTCTCAACAACAGTAACAAGAAAGGAAGGAAGGAGGGAGAGAGAGAGGAAGAAAAAAAGGAAGGAGGGAAGAAAAAAGGCTCTCTGTGTCTGCTGTGTTTGAACATTTCCCTACTGCTACATGGCACACGAGATTTTTTTCCAGCCTTTAGTCCTTTAACTTGTAGAGAAAAGGGCTCTGTCAAGACCCAGATAGTAGTAACATTAAGGAAAAATAAGGAAACAAGGAGCACAGACAATAGGAAGCAGCTTCATTCAAGGGAGGCAGGGATGCGAGTGGACTGGAGCAGAACTTGAAAGACAATGAGAATGCTCTACAGCTTGGCTAACCTGGGAGGATTCTGTTCGTTTTTATTGATTTGAAATTTCACATAAGACACCCCATCACATTCACTTCCCAGTCCTCCCAAGTCAACCCTCAACCCTGTGACCTCCCCAAAACAAAAGAAGGAGAAGAAAAAAAGAAGAAATACCAAGTCCAATTTATGTTGTCCATATATTCACTGGAGCATGGTCAAACCCCCTGTGGCCTGCCCCTTAAAGAAAACTGAGTTCTTTGCCTGCATCCCCGCCAGAAGCCATCAACTGCGAAGAGCTACATTTCAGCATTCCTATTACAATTTTTAAGAGTTCTCTTCAATGGCTTCCTGTCTAGACTGTTTCTTTTTGGAGGCTGGGGGAGAGAGATTGTCACACAAGGAGAGACTTCTATTTTGTGAGGACCTATTCAGCTATGTCCATTTCATATATGCCTCTGCCTCTTATTCTATTCGACAAAAAAACGATTTTAGTATAAGACAGATGTTAACTGTGTGGCTATAGTGTAACTGTCAGAAATATAGTTAAGTAAAATATGGTACAGTACAGAAAGGAAGGAAAGAAGAGGCTCCCAGAGGGGCCCCCAATAGGAAGTAGCAAATACAGAACCAGACAGAGAGTGTGGAGTACAGCGCAGGGCTATGATGGGAATCAGTTGCTGTTGCTGGAGTGCGAACCCCACCCTGGCCACCTCCAGCTGACTTAGTCATTTTGCCCATTTAGATTCCAGTTTCCTCACCTGAGGCAGGAGCTGGTAGGTGCCTGCCTCGTGGGGATGTAGAGAATTATATCAATTCACACAGGGAAAGCACCAAGGGGGGGCAGGATTAGTGCTTCTGGAGTTGGGACAGGCCATTTGGGGAGCAGATCACCATACACTAGCCTGCTTCTCTATGGTACAAGTGCCCCAACTCTGTCTGTGTCTGACGCAAATGAAACAGAGACCCCGAAATCTCACATCATGTCCCTCAGCTCTTCCACCCAGCACCAACTTTGTGGACGTGTGACCCATGCGGTCCCATAGGGTCCCATTCGTTTGGAGTGCAATGCCCATGTGCCACATTTTCTGTCTGTTTTGAGACTCGGTCTCATCATACAGCCTCGGCTGACCTCCAACTCAAGGTCCTCCTGCCTCAGCCTCCCAGGTTCTGGGATTGCAGGCATGTCCCACCACGGCTGGCTCCCATGTAGCATATTTTCCCCAACTCTTGCTTTATAAGCAGCTGTGAGTTGTGATGTCCGAGGTTACATGCAGCCCTGCCTCCATCTCTGGGCTGTCTGAAGCTTCCCTTCCCCCTCCTTCGGGCCTGTGTTAGGCCTTGCTTAGACTTATGCAGCCCTCCACCTTCTGTAGGGGAACGTCAGGCTGGAAATTGGTGGCTGTCCCTCATCCCACCCCTGCCCAGGGACCTCGGGCTGCAGTATTGTAGTGCACCTGGTGTGGGTAGCCAGTTGGGGACTGAATCATGGCAGGATTGACACTCTGCCCCAGGTACCAAGCAGGTCTTTTCTTGATGCCCAGGGTTAAAGCTGGGGAGCTGGAGTGCTCAAAGTTGGGAGCTCTCAGTTAAGGGGACACCTGGCCAGTGTGGCAGTCAGTCTAGCATCTGCTAAGAGCAGAAGAGCTGCCATCAGGCCTGAACATACACACACCAGCATCTGACTTCGTGGGTGGTCGTGGGCAGGAAATGGCCTGCTTCTCTTTTTCCTTTTAACCTGCCTGAGCCTAGCTGGAGTCCAGTCTCTTTGGCCCACTCACAGCACCACTGGAAGCCAGCAGTAAAACACAAGTTGTCTAATTCCAGGGTTTTGCATGTGAGCTAACTGCCCCTGTAATTGCTCTTCAAGCAGGTTTTGTGTGACATAAACATGAATTGTATAACTCACCCTGTCTTTATTTTTTCCTTGATGTTAAGTAGCAAAATGAAAAGCAACATAGCAAGCTATGGGAGAGGCAGTCAAAGAAAGCGTCCTATGTGTTTTACAGCACTTTCCCCAGAACAAGAGTCTAGCACTCCGTCTCTGTAGCCAGCTCAGCCTCTTCCTCTGTGCTCCATGCTCTCAGAGGACTCCTGTGATGTGGACCTGGACCTTGTCCCCTTCTGCAGGGCCACTGGATGCATGCACACATGCACACATGCACACATGCACGCATGCACACATTTCTAGCCATACTGTAAGTCCTCTGCTCTGTTATGCTAAGGCAGGAACTGCATGTGATTCATCTTCATTTCTATGTCCAGCCTCCTTCAGGGCTTATGTGGTCACTCAGTAATTATCCAGTGAGTAATGGGGGAGGAGTGTTAGGTGATGCCTCCCAGTGTCCTATCTTTGGCAACATCCTCAATCCGCAAGCAAATCCAAGGCCTGTTCCATGCAACCAAAGACTGACCCCTTTAGCAGCTAGGCTCACGAATAACCATCCCTGAATCATAAAACACCCCTACCTCATGGTAGTACATAGCTATCATTCAAATAACCAGGAGACTCAGGTAGGAAGATGTAGTTCAGGCATCTGGAATACCATGTCTCATAAGAACCCTCAGACTCTGCATCTGGATAATGGTTACTAGTTACAATGTTGGGGGCAATGCTAGACATCTAACCCACTGTGCCCTGGCCAAACAGCATTTCCTAATGCTGAGCAGATTACTGCCGTGGGCCCTTATAGTTTGATTGATTGACTGATTTATTCATTCACTCATTCCTTTTACTTTTTCTTCCTTGCCTCCTTCTTTCATTCCTTCCCTTTTTTCTCCCTCCCTTCTTCAGCTCCTTTTGGGGTAACAGGATCGCATGCAGTCAACGTTAGCCTCAAATTTCTTAGGTAGCTGAGCATGACCTGACCTCCTGATCCTCCTGCCTCAACATCCAAAGTGTTAGAATTATAGGTTAGAATTACTACCATACCTTATATATATCTGGTGTCAGGGATCAAACTCAAGAGCTCTGGCAAACATTTTACAACTGGACTACCACCCTAGTGGCCCACACCCCACATGCGGAGGCAGGGTTTCACTTTGTAGTCCTGCCTGCCTGAGACTTGCTATGCAAACCAGGCTGGCCTCAAACTATGTGTGGTCCTCCAGCCTCAGCTTCCAAGGTGCTGGAGTTACGGGCAATCTTCGGCTCTTGTTTCCTAAAATGTTCTCTACTGTGTATGTGCAAGCCTCGTGGGAGCCTCTGTCTTCACTCAAGCATCACCCCATACTCCCTCCCCTCGGTCACTGTCCTTTCCCTTCAGGACCTGCCCCTAAAAATCCCGTTTCCTAAGCACACTTGTATGTCCGCACTCTGCCTCCTGCTGGGAGAACACACTTGCTTGTTAGCACTCTGCCGCCTGCTGTGAGAGACGGAAGCTGCCCTAGAAAAGTCTCCCCCACAGTGCAATCCAGACTGAGCATTCAATAACACCCAAATGGTTCAGTCCACAGTGAGCACCTGAGAATACTGGGCAGGTAAACAAACCGACAGGTAAATGGATTTCAGCATCGCCTGCCCTTACAATCCCACAAAGTTCCTGTTCCAAGCACATCACTGTTCTTCCTTAAATTGATTTGTTCCTTTTATCAAAAAGGAAAAAAAAAACCTATTATTGCTTTCTATAAAAAGTAATGTTGTTCATGAATCACTGAGCACTGCTGCCGGATGAAAATTCCAGGCCCCAGGCAGGTGACAGCGGAGAGGAACATGG